AGAGAGAGAGAGAGAGAGAGAGAGAGAGAGAGAGAGAGAGAGAGAGAGAGAGAGAGAGAGAGAGAGAGAGGGACGTCACGCAATTATAACCCGCGGAAACTTTTAATATAACACTCTTAGCTGGCATCTAGCGGCAAGACCTTTCTGAAATATAGTGGCCACTTGCGTGACGGTATAGATAGTAATGCACTCTGCGTGTAGCATGTGAGGCTGTCTGTAATATGGCAACCGAAGGTCTTTCGGTCCCCGTTGCTATAAGAACTCACTCTACTCTATATTGAATCTCACTTGGCACCGGGAGTCACAAAGGCACCGCGCATGCTCTGATGTCGATCCAAACAAACTTTAATCCAGATGTCTCATTATATATAGCGTGGTGGTTCGATGTTAAAGGACAGCATGGAATGAATCCGTTCGCGGTCAAACAATTATTCAGCAGTTTGCCGAGCTATCAAAGCGCGTTCGTACGTACCTTCGACTGTGACGGTTCACAGTGGTGACCCTTGGTGAGCATTTTGTCAACTAAAGAAGGTCACGCGCGCGTGTCCCGATTTTCTCTGAGGCGCTGCGGAGATCAAAAGTTGAATTGACCAGACAAATCTCGAGAAAAAATCTTACACGCATGCTGCCGATTCGTGTGTCCTTTATCGATCATTTCAAGGCATGCGACAGCAAAAGCATTCGGTAAAACTCCGTTAGCCAAGTTGACAAAGCAACCCATGAGCATATCGCATTATATATATTATGTGTGTGTGTATATATATATATAATTATATAATATATATATCGTATATATATCACAATCGAACGCAATCGTTGTTAACTTGGCGCGCGAAGACTACGAAAGACAGACATTCGCAAAACTATGCATCAGATAAACACGAAGCATCGTATTTTACCCGATATGTCGCTAGATAGTCGGATGTTTGGGCATGTATGAGACATCAATTGGAGAACATGGCAGGGTGACGTGAAGTGCCGGCCGTTAAAGCAAAGCTTTACCGCCGCAAGACCACTCTCCGCGTTCGACCGCTAACATTTTTACTTCTCATTATTTCGGACGAATAAAACGCTGATTTTATGGCTCGAGTAGGCAAGTCGGTCTAAAATCAAACTCAACGAAAAGCGATCGATCTTGCAGTGTACTACTACTACTACTACTACTACTACTACTACTACTACTACTACTACTACTACTACTACTACTACTACTACTACTACTGCTGCCGCCGCTCGCCACCGCCGCCACCGCCGGCCGCGCCGCCGCCGCCGCCACCAACCACCACCGACCGGGGGCCACGCACCACTACTACTACTACTACTACTACTACTATACTACTACTACCCACCACCAACCCTCCCCCCTACCACCACCACCACCACCACCACCACCACCACTACCACTACCACTACCACCACCACCACCACCACCACTACCACTACTACTACTACTACTACTACTACTACTACTACTACTACTACTACTACTACTACTACTACTACTATCACTACCATTACCACTACCACTACCACTACCATTACTACCACTACCACTACCACTACCACTACCACTACCACTACCACTACCACTACCACTACCACTACCTCTACCACTACCACTACCACTACCACTACCACTACCACTACCACTACCACTACCACGACCACGACCACGACCATCACCACCACCATCACTACCCCTACCATTACTAGCACCACAACTAACACAACTACTACTACTACTACTATTACTACTACTTCTTACTACTACACATGTTTTAAATTCGACGCTCGATCGATACAACGCTATGGTCGTCGACAAAAACGACGGTGCATGTGTGCGAACAGGGAAATCGCGGGCTCGGGCGCGCATCGCCAATTGCGATAGGAAACGCTATACTGCTGCTCGGCGACCGGTCTGCTACGACGACTTCCTGCGAGAAAGAAAATATATGGTCGCCATGATTGGCGTTGTCGGTCGGCCGCCGCGACTCGTGCGCGTCGAAGATAACCACAAGAAATCTGGCTTCGATCGCGAAAGCACTGCGGGAATGTGCTGCTCATTGATTCTCACGAAACAACCGCCCCCTTCCTCTGGCAGAACATCTTCCGATTCGAAAGCCGTTTTTTGGGAATTGTCGTCACACCCTACACGGCCGACTCGTCGAATTGTTTCCGTGGGTGTCTCTTTCGTAGACTGTCCCCAGATCGTTCGTAGAGCGATGTTAGAGACAACGTCGCGATGTGAACAAGCGGCGTAGAGCCCGTCTGCAATTATGCATGAAACGCAATCATGCAAACCTGGAAGACGGATATATGAAAACATTCTCTTCGTCCTGGCCCACGAGGGTGACTTGATATACAACCTCCCATTTTTGAAACAGCTGTGAGGGAATACTCAGTGCTTTTGAAACGACGTTTCTCGATTTGTGTGTGATTCATAATTTATGCGGCCGTGATCACGTGAAGAACCCTGTCGCAGCCGTGACTGAGTGCGTGGGACAGGGGTCGCGTAATCTATTATCGCGTCTGCATTTTAAATTACCAATAGAATTGTTTTATGACCGTTTTATGCTAATCAGGCATTATTAATTACGCTCCTAAGTGGCCCAATTAGTGATAGAACGCAGGGAATATCAGTAAATTCGATGAGTGCGGCATGCAGTATCTACATACCAGAGGGGTTTCCTCCGCAATGCGTCGCACGCGTGCGAAATGCACATTCTGTCACGAATAGAGTATTTCTGGCCATCAAACCTCGCGACGTAAGTGGAAAATCGTGCAACGGGCTGCGAAAGTGACAACTATTCATTGAAGCTAAATTGTCATCGCAGTGGGCACCCACGCCAATGAAAGGTTTAATATCTATACAGTGAACGTCATCTGACGACAGCGAGCGCGCAGACTGTATTTCATTCACGAACGCGTGTTAGGCGCAGTGTAACTTCCATTCCATGAAGCGAAAGCCCCGTAGCCAGAATCAATGCAGATGATGTGTTTTTAAACTACGAGAAACGCTTATATAGCGAAGATTAATAATTAAATGGATTTGACCAGCGAGGTTTACCGCATTTAATAAAAAGCGGGCTGAATGTACAGAATGGAAAGTTGACTGTGAAAATGACTAGGCCGTGAGAGAAGCGGAGTAAAAAAAGTCAGTGAAAAAGTCACTCACAGTTTGAGCTGCGGAGTATTTTGCATTTGCTGACAAAATCTAGTGGAAATTGAACGCGCAAGTAGTAAATGTTTGCATTATCAATAAAAGCTAATTGCCTGCATTAGCGATATCGTTTCAGGGTGATTTCTCACGAAGCTTTATAAAATATCGATTGTAAAATGGCTGAATTGAGAGGGTAGTCTTGAACATTGTCGTCTAATATATTAGCGGTCGCCGCAATTACATACACTTACACGTGTGAACATGCGTCTCGAATTCATTACGCAGATAATGTCAAAATGTGCAACATCTGCCCTGCTTGTCATATTTCGTCGTAGTTAATGAGGTAATTACCACTGCTGCTGACGATGCTGCTGCTACTGTTGTTGCTATTGTTGTAGTTGTTGCTGTTGCCATGTAGTTGTTGTTCCTGTTGTTGCTGCTGTTATTATCGTTGTTGTGTGATGTTGTTGTTTCTGGTGCTACTGTTTACATTGTTATGATTATTATTATTATTATTAAAATTATTATTATTATTATCATTATTGTTGTTCTTATCGTTGTTGTCTGCAGGCGATCATATATCTGGAGGTTATCGTGTTAATTATTGACTGTAGCTAGCCTGCGAGTCTTAATGTGTGTGATGAGTTTTGTTGTTGTTGTTGTTGTTGTTGTTGTTGTTGTTGTTGTTGTCGTCGTCGTCGTTCACGTTGTTGGTACTCAGTGGCACGAGATATTAACGACCAGTTTAGCCCGCTCAACGTTTGAATTAAAACATTGTGCAAAACTCATCGTGTACATTCTATTGCATTTCAGGAAGTAATCAACTACAACTGCAGGGCGCTCGTAGCTTCGGTGCCGTTCTTCGCAAACGCCGACGCCAACTTCGTCTCAGCTGTCGTGACGAAGCTCATCTACGAGGTCTACCAGCCGGGTGACATCATCATCAAGGAGGGTACGATCGGCACGAAGATGTACTTCATACAGGAGGGCATCGTTGACATCATCACGACCGATGGAGAGGTGGCCACGAGTCTGTCTGACGGATCCTACTTCGGAGGTAGGTGCACGGTTTCTCAGTTTCGTCATACTTTAGGAACACAGGATTTTGAAAGTGGGGATAGGATTAGATTACGGTTATGGTTAGGTTAGGGTGAATGGTAGGAATAGGATTCGGTTGCGGTTAGTGTTATGGGTAGGAGGTTAGGGGCAGGATTGGGGTGAGTGTTAGGGTTAGGGTTAGGGTTAGGGTTGGTCTTAGTGTTAGTGTTAGTGTTAGGGTTAGGGTTAGTGTTTTCGTTATGGATTAGGGGTAGGATTATGGTTAGGGTTAGGTTCAGGGTTGGGGTTAGGGTTAGGGTTAGGGTTAGGGTTAGGGTTAGGGTTAGAGTTAGGGTTAGGGTTAGGGTTAGGGTTAGGGTTAGGGTTAGGGTTAGGGTTAGGGTTAGAGTTAGGGTTAGGGTTAGGATTAGGGTTAGGGTTAGGGTTAGGGTTGGTGTTAGTGCTATTGTTAAGGTTTAGGGATAGGATTAGGCTTAGAGTTATGGCTAGGGTGAGAATTAGCGTTAGGTATTAGGTGATGATGATTACAGTTCATTGTCGCGGGAATTGTGAATGTGTAGTGAGACAGCTGGGTTACTTCACGCAGTGATGGCTCGATGAGCGCATTTTCGCCAAGATGGCGGCGTGCATTTTGCAAGTCACGGTCGAGCTGTTTAATAGCATATCTGGGCGTAAACAGTATACGATCGGCTTTCGCCAACTGCCGTTTTTATTGTAAGTTCTCGTGGTTGTGATCCATGAATTCTCCATTCGACTGGATTCGATAAAAAACGTTATTAGCGGCGAGGGGGAGCGGGTGTCGTTCGTGATAGATGGATTGGGAAAACGTTCCGAGTGTCTGCGACTGCTGCTAGTGTTTGCTCAATGGCGCATGCACACACACGCGATTATTGTCGTCTCTCTGCGGAAGTAATGGGTCCACCGGGCAGAACGGTGGAAGGTGGAGTATTTGAGTGGCTGTGGAGGGTAGATGTGTGGTGGAAGGTGGAGTATTTGAGTGGCTGTGGAGGGTAGATGTGTGGTGGAAGGTGGAGTATTTGAGTGGCTGTAGAACACATCTACCCGTGGAAGGTGGAGTATTTGAGTGGCTGTAGAGGGCAGATGTGTGATGGAAGGTGGAGTATTTTAGTGGCTGTAGAGGGTAGATGGGTGGTGGAAGGTGGAGTATTTGAGTGGCTGTAGAGGGTAGATGTGTGGTGGAAGGTGGAGTATTTGAGTGGCTGTGGAGGGTGTATGAGAAACAGAATGAATAGTGAGAGGTAGTGTTTTGGCGGCGATGGGGGCATGTGTAGTTGGAAGAACAGTATTTGTAAGTGTGCGTTGAGGATGGATGTGTAGTGAGACGTCCGGTGACTCAATATCTGCTGCATAGTGAGACGTGGAGCGATGGTGTGTCGGTAGACGGTAGCTGCATGGTTGGTTTTGAGCGTTTGTAGTGGGTGTGCTCGCGTGTGTCCGCTCAGGAACGGACACTGCCATTACATATGTAATGGAAACTTTATTCAGTAGATTTATACGATCACAGATTTCCATCAAGGGTTGCGTAAGCTTTTCCTGCGCATTTCTCATTCTCGTGCGTGGCTAGTATCGATATTGGCTAGACTACCGATTGTGTGGAATTGTTTTTAAAAATTGATCGATTATCGATTAGCCTCTCGGCATTTTCTTGGTTATAGTGTTCGTTAATTAAGCTTACCTAGCTCCACTAATTTCTAGTTGTATTTTTGTTTTTACTGCACGTTCACTATTAAATAAATCGTAACTCCAGTATTATCCGTTCTACGTGGAACTCATTCCTACAGTCAAGGGTGCATGCACCGAATAAATACAGTCGCGATTTCATTTGACTGCGCTTCACGTACTCATAGTTGAACCTTGGCCATTGAAATATCACCTAAACCAGGGGAATGTCCTGCGCAGAGCTAATCGTACGCTATAGCTAATCTTGTCTGAGCCACGGCGTGATGCACACCCGTCACATTGCTGCTTCCGCATGGACGCAGAGATGCCCAGGAATGACGCAATCACTCACTTAGACTAGCTGGACTCTAGCTGGTCCACGGGACGTGGGACGCGCGATTATTTTCGACAGACCCCCCCCCCTACAACACGGATCGATTCAGCCGATGCGCCGTGCGTGCGTTCTCGTCTGACAGGCAGGAAATCCTTGTAAGCGATGAGCTCTTGAAATGCTCGAACTTCTCTTGAACTTCGCCGCAAGCGTCTGGAGTGTTTCGGGAAATTAATTATGAACATAGAGAATTGCCGTCTAATTGATATCGCGCGGGTTTGCGACATGAGCACATTTATACTGATTCGTAAGTGGTATCATGACGGGTTTTCATGAGGAGAACTACTGCGATAGCGGTAGCGACGGCCTTGCGCGTTCTCTAAAGAGCGCATTGATTATTCACTAATAACTCTAATGCGATTTACAGTTAATAATATATTGCGACCAGCGTAAAAACGAGCAATTCCTCACGCGCGCGAAAAACTACATGCGCGCAGCGGTTTTTCGGCGCATTTAAATCCAAGTTGATTCCAGTTGTTAATTCCAATAATGAGTGTGTAGCATTCGAGAATTTGACGGCCGAGATCTTTTGCCGAGAAACTGCATAGTGTTTCATGCCCTTTCTGGCCGAAAACATCCGTGCAGTGGGCGCCCTCTCGTGGCCAATTACACATGCCTCATACATTGCTGTAAAGCGAGTGATCACGTGACGTCAGGTGGAGAATCTACTTACCCTTAGCAAAGAGACCCTAAGATGATATCTTGTATGCTTATCAACGATAATATCTGCGTATTTGTTCGACTAATGTTGCTTATTATTAATATCTTGTGTTGAATTGGTACTGTCGACATAGTTTCCAACAAGTTTCGTAGCTCATATCGTTATCATTTGTGCCAACTAGTTTGTGAGGTTGCCAATTTGTTTTTATAGGCAACTAGTGTGGGGTAGTTTAGGAGGAGTGTGGTGACATTTAAGCACGCGTGGACACACACGCACGCACACGCACACGCACACGCACACACACGTGTACCCACACGCACAAACACACACACACACACACACACACACACAACACACACACACACACACACACACACACACACACACACACACACACACACACACACACACACACACACACACACACACAACACACACACACACACACACACTACACACACACACACACATACACACACACACACACACACACACACACACACACACACAACA